TTCCGTGATATATCCATTCAACCATCGCAGACCTGAAATTGGATATTGAAACAAGCATTCGTGCTATTCAAGACGAATACATACTGGCCAAGTCAGGGGACGCAGCACCTGTAAATTACTGAGCGATCAGACTGTTGAAACAAGCGCTGGGAAGCCGCTGCTCTCATACACTATATGAATAATGAAAAGAAAACTTACGAAAGATCATTTTGTAATGGAAACTACTCTCCAGTGTTATTGCCAAAATGCGCGGTCGTCAGATAGAGTACGAACAGACGTGGTGACATGAGTTGTAACGATGTGATGAAGCTCCAAGATCGTTTTTATATACATACTCAATCTCTGCAGTGGGATTCTTCGCTTTACACAAGGATTTTCCTCTGTTTATCAATCCTGGGAAAAATACTGTGATATTAGAACATACAATTTTGTGTATCTTATATATAAATTAACGTATAAATTAACATTTGTAGGGAATTTACCACCAGTTTACCATATGTTTACATAGAAATCTTTCTTTGTGTGATATCACAAAATAGTTTTTAATTTAAGTTTTGATCATAATTACTAATAATTTTAGTTTATCTTACTTAATCTTTCATTTATTTTTTATTAAAACCTGTTTTGTTTTTAGAAATTATATTCTTTTTTTTCAGTAATATTTCACCTGCAAATATTTGCAAATATTCTTTTGTTTAATACTTTTAACTATGTTTATAAAGCAATTTTATCTTGAATTTTTGTAATAATATTTCTTTTGAAATGTTGTAACTTTTAATAATGAAAATATATTTGGCTAGGAGCTTTATCACCAGTCTTATGCCAAAGTTGGTGTCATGTTTGCTTCCATTCCCAACTATCACGAGTTTTATATGGAACTCAATACCAATAATCAAGGTGTGGAGTGCCTGAGACTTCTGAATGAAATTATTGTCGACTTTGACGAGGTAAGTGGAATATAAGGGTTTCTAAATTTTTAAGGTAATATTTTAGGAGTATCATATAATCCAGAAAGGAGAGTGGCAAAAGTTTTAAGTATATGAGTAAGAAATGAGTATGAAGCTACATTTGGATAATAAAGTGACTTTTGAAATACGCTTTTAAAAAGTAAGCTTATATAGCCCCCCAGTGGCACAGCGGTATGTCTGTGGACTTATGACGCTAGAATCCAGGTTTCAATACCCGTGGTGGGCAGAGCACAGATAGCCCATTGTGTAGCTTTGTGCTTAATTACAAACAAACAAGAAGCTTATATATTGTCATGTATATTCCATAACAAAAGTTTAATTGCTCATTTTACTTTTAGTGAAATTGTTTGGAAATAGTTTTTCCTTTTTCTGTATTTTTTTTTCAGAAATCGACTACAAAACTTAAAAGCACAAAAGAATGACGTGTTTTCGCTCTTTTTTCATATTATTATTATTAAGCAGTAACTCTTCTTTTTCAGCGACTGTGTGATATAATGATTATATGATATAAATACCAAACTTATAAACTACACTTATAAAAGTTGAAATAATTATCGTTTAACTAACACTTATTTTCAGCTCTTAGATGACGAAAGATTCAGAACTATTGACAAGATTAAGACAATAGGAAGCACTTACATGGCTACGATTGGCCTAATCCCGGATTGTCGTATTCCTGTAAGTTAAGATTCTGAAATTAAATTTTTAAAGAAAAAAACTGCAAAAAAAGATCCATTCTGATACTGCAAATTAACTGCTATTTGTATATTTGCATTATATTGTCTAGAATGTCCTGTAACACTAAATGTATTACGATATAAAATAATATTATTATTTTACTGTTATATATATTATTATTACTATGTAACGATTGGTTCAGTTATGAGAATTGGTATGGTATTGTGATAACGATGGCATTTTAGATAATATATTTTAAGTGAAATTTAGAAACATATTTTATAAAAGTATATTCTAGTTAGACAAAAATGTCTATATTTTATTTGCGATGTTTCACAGCATCTATATCAATATAATAATACTGTCTGTTGTCTGTCCATGTAACTACTTCGTAGAGTTTAAATGGATCTTCACCAAAGTTGGTATGGAGGTTCATTAGATCAATGCGGGGGGTACATGCAAAATTTCAGTTTTGCATTTTGCGTTTAGCGGTTTTTCTAGGCGTATTTGCGTTTTTTACTACTACTTCGCCCCCTGTTGATGGACCTTCACCAAATTTGGCATGCAGATTTGTTGGGTTCATGGGGTGATACACGCAAATTTTCAGTTTTGCATTTTGAGGTTTTTATGGGCGTTTTTTGCATTTTTTATAATTACATATAAGGGAAGCAACTTTTAATGTCCTAAGATAACCTTTCATTAATCATGAGTTTACATAACTTCCGTCCAGGGGATGGATATTCCAGCTAGTTACTAAATAAAATTCTATTTTTACTGAATATGATCTAATACAGAACCATATTTTTCTCTCAGGAGGACAACAATGTTGAGGCGGCCAAACATATCAGTAATTTGGTGGAGTTAGTGTTTGCCATGAGAGACAAACTTGCCGATATAAATGAGAATTCTTACAATAACTTTATGTTGCGAGTAGGTAAGTATCGTTTGATTACGCTTTGATTAGAACATGTGTATTACTTCATTCAGACTTTGTAGTGCATACTGAAGGTACTTGCACATTTTGATAATAAAGTTAGAAGCCCTGAAAAAGCCGCAAAGGCGAAACGTCAGTTAAAGTAAAAGTTATCTTATAATTATATGGAGTATAAATCTCGTTTTTTTATAACGGCATTACTTCATTATTTGTTATTATATTAAACAAGCAAATATTTCTATAAAACAGGATATGGAAAAAGTATTTCAGCAGTTAAATCCCTTTTTAGATTTTTTTCAAAGTAATGCTTTCATAATTAACACTTAAAAAGCACAATTTTGCAAATACCAAAGATAAAGCATTTCCTTCTCTATAATAAAATTGCAAAATATACGTGAACTTAAACAACATACAAAAGTAGTGCGAATGATATAGCGTTACACTTTAGTATGTCTTTTATCATGAAAGATCCTACGCTCCTGAACTTATAAAAATATTATACGTTCATTCGTGAGTATATATATATATATAATTAGGAGCTTTATGAGTCACATTTTTTACAAGTCTGGCATAAAACTCTTCTAAGCTGAGAGACTTATAATAAAATAACATTAGGTGTTAAGTCTATACAGAAATTATATCCGTAGATCAAATTGTATTCTTTTGTTAAAATTAAAAGTTTCTAGTATAAGTGACATGATTTATTTCATAAGAACAGTTTAATTACTTGTCTTACTGTTAAGGAACACTGAAGAAATAGTTGTCGTTTGCTCTGTAACATGTTTTCAAAAACCAAGTACTAGTAAACTTAAAATCGCAAATTTCTTTATATATTACTTTTATTTTTACAAAGGAATGGGGTAGTTTTTGCCTACTTTTTTCATATTAATATTAGGCAGTACCTTCCCCCTTGCAGTGAGCGTGTGTTATAATACAGAGTGTTTATAAAGTCTCTATCTATTTCAGAGAAATAACGGGTAATTGTGTTAAATTCAATTATAAAACGATAAAAAGCACACATTTATTGAATATTTAAGAATAAGTTTCTACATGTGCGCCATCAGTATCTCTACAGAGCTCAAATATTTCTGCAGCATTTCTGAACACATCCTGGAGCATTTCAGGGGTTATTTTGTTAACAGCCGTTATAATGCGTGTACGTAAGTCCTGCAGATTTTTAACCTTCGTTTGATAGACGTCTGATTTGATAAAGCCCCATGCAAAGAAATCCAAGTGTGTTAGATCTGGCGATCGAGCCGCCCAGGGCCTGTTGCTTCCACGTCCGATCCACCGATCTGGAAATCGTTCATTCAGGTACTCCCGAACAATGTTTGCGTAGAGACAAGATGCACCATCTTGCTGAAAGACGACGGTGTTCAATATCCCATTCCCAACCAACTGGGGGTTCTAGGAACTGCTGCAACATATTCAGATAAATAGCCCCTGTAACTGTAGCTTCAGCAAAGAAAAAGGATCCATAAATCTTAGATTTAGTCAAACACAACCAACCATTAACTTCAGGAGTATCTCTTTTCCATTGATAGAAGAAATCAATCGGTCTTTCATTAGCCCATATGCGACAGTTATGGCGATTAACCTTTCCACACGTATGGAAAGTTGCTTCATCACTAAAATCACATTAAATTTTCATTCTGAATGCGTTCAACGAGATCGGCACACATTGCAATTCGCAGTGGATAGTCCTCTTCATGCAAATCATGTAAAACTTGAAGGTGATAACTTTTCTTATGCAAATGTGATGTCAAAATTTTTTAGACCGTTGAATTGGTTAGCCTGAGTCTTGGTGATGCGACACGAATTGACATGCGTGTTTCTTCCGTGATAGCCTTTCGTACTGCATTTACAGCGTGCTCTGAGACACGTGGACTTCCAGATCTTGGTCCATCATTAACAGATCCCGTTCTTTTGAATTTATTCAACAGTTCGCGTATTGTCTTATCTGTAGGACCTGGCTTATGAAATTTTCTTTCAAACTTCTCTCTGATTTCTTTGCATTTCTTTCCTTGAATACGCAATGTTACCGCCATCACATGTTCTTGCACATTCATCTTCATAGGGTTCTGCAATACCAATCAATAAAACTCGTTATTTCACTGAAATAGATAGGGACTTTATAAACACGCTGTACGAAAACTCCACCCAGGTATTGTAGCATAAGGTTTTAGAATGTATATGAGCATAAAGGTTGTGCATTTAGAATATCTCGATTATAAAAATCAAATAACAGATCTAGTCATTATTATGTGTTTTCCACGGTCGAATTCAACCAAGAGATACTACGAATGTAAAGGAAAACAAAATAGATTGTAAGTTTTATACAACAGGTGATATACAAAAAACAAAAAATAACAAACGAATAATACACATATAATTACGAGTTTCATAGTTCCTTGCTGAATAGTAATACATATTTTTTCAACATTTAAAACCTACAAGGGTTGGACAAAATAAGAGAAACATTAATTTCTACATTTTACTTGTTAATATAAAAGTGTGCATCTGACAATATATTTTGTTTTGTTTTTTTACCTTTCGTCGATCAGAGTTTCTTCTAACTGTTGAAATGACTGTCAGTAGAAATCTGCCTTGAAACTTGGTTTCAAGACCTGACCATAGATGTTCGATAACATTCTCATGTAGTTACTGTAGTGGCCGGGTCAGGTGTCAAAATTTCTTCTCGTTCTTTAAACAAATATTTAACAAATTCGGCAATACGAATTGATACATTGTCTTCATGAAGTATGTAGCAAGGTTTAAGTATAATTTGCTCTTACTTTACCTTTCAGTGAGATCACAGACTCTAAACTGTTCTAAACAAAAGCTGCCTATATCATAACAGACTCTACGATGCTTAACTGATAGCACAAGATATTCAGTACTGTAGTCTTCTTTGGTTTTCACCATATATTTACATACCAATTTTATGGATAAAATGTAAAATAAGAGTCACCTGATCAAACCACATTCTTCCACTGATTTTCAGTCCTATTTAAGTTCCTGATGCCAATTTACTCGTGCCTTTGCATTTTTGGTATCATTAGAGGTTTTTGAATGGCAAATTTGCCATGATACCCTATCCTGTGCAATTATTTTTGAGTTTTTCTGACATAAATTGGTTGCTTTAGGTTAACCTTAATTTGTGCTCACTGTACTCTTTTGTTTGCGTTTCACTATTCGTGTTAATGCTTGTCTGTCGCGATCTGTCATCTTAGTTTTTCTACCACTATTATATTTGTCTGATATGTTTGTTTATTTTTTCCATATCCATGCTGATATCACATAACACCGTTCCTTGTAATACATTCATTATTCAAGGTACTTGTTTCACTGAGAATACAACTAAACGTTCACTTACAATCATGGGCCTCTTTGTAAATCTAGAATATCTGTTTAGCTTAAAGTTTATAAAGCATTTCTCTGAAAAACAATAATATACTATTTCTATACAGACAGATTCATTCATATATTGTTTGAAAAGCTTAATGCGAAATTAAATTGCCGTATGCCTACATTTTCATCTCTCAAAGATACCACAACTTGGAGGTAAAAGGGTGAGGTGGCTCCATATTTATATCCACCCTAGAACATATGGATTGAGGATCACTAACATTTTAAATAATAAAGCTAATAAGAAATACGTATAATATTTATGGTAATGTTTTATCGTTCATTTATGTTTGGTGAATATTTTGAAATTTTATCTTAATATCTAATGAGGGGGATGTTGCTAAAAATATTTTTGCTGTTAAGTTAATTTTGTGCTCTTCTTTTTCCTACTTCGATGTTGTCCTTATCTTTCTTACTTATAAAAATGCCCGTTCTAAATTTCACATTATATATAGGATGAAGCACAGCATCTTCCTGATCATATATTCAAATATGCAAAAAGCTTAAAAGGTAGGCCTCTGAATGAAAGTAACACATTTTATCTGCTAAGAGTATTCGTTTAGATAATTATATTCCTACTCGAGATGAAATAAAATCTATGATCCCCATTAATTCGAACTTGTATGCTCCTGGTTTGAACCAACATAATTTCTTTCGAGAGCAATAGCTAATCTGTTGACTTAGCATTGTTTTAACTTGAATTATAGATGCCAAGAGTTAAGCATGTTATCTTTTCCACAACAACAGTTTAACATGAAATCAGAAAATAAGATAAGGCATAGTTCTTATGAATCGAACTTCATCTTCATCTAAAACTATATATGAAATTAGACGACTAAATGTATGTCTACATCAGATCTCATTGCACTTTCATGACTGAATACATCATAGCACATACCGAAAGATATACTGTCGTATCAGGTTTAATGTTTTCTTATCTGCGAGAAAGATGGCAATGAATAAATTGATGCTTTGCATATCACCAGTTCCTTACTACACAGCATAATTAAAATTGGGTAAAGGAATTTCAACAAAATGACAAATTTTGCTAGTTTTGTCATGTATACAAGTATAGTGTTTTTCACTAACAACAGTTACAAAAAAATGTTTTACCTTCTAATAACTTTGTTTCCCTTTTACTCTCTAATATTATTGCCAGATTGACTTGTTAGTCACATGACAAGCTTATTGGTCACTGCTAAATTGACTTGTTAGTCATGTGATATATTTAAAGGTCATTGATGGAATGACTTGAAAAATCTTACAAATTCAATAATAAGTGGTAGAAAAAATCCATGGCAGATAACCTATTAGACAAAAATACAGCAAGGAGAAATAACTACCTCACAGTAATACTTTACCTGGCAGCCCCAAGATAGCCAGAAACCTGGAGCATGTGTTCTGATACTTGCAGTCTTGTAAGGAGAAATAACTGCTCCACGGTAATACTTTACCTGGCAGCCCCAAGGTGGTTAAAAACCCAGAGCACGTGTTCTGATACTTGCAGTCTTGTAAGGAGAAATAACTACTCCACGGTAATACTTTACCTCTAAGGAGACGTTTTATATTACGAATCTCCATTTGGTTAATAAAATCAGAAACATACATAAAATAGCTTATACAACGAATTAAAAGATGCTTGTAATCTCAGCCTCGCACATTTTTAACATAATCCCAAGAATCCTGTAATGTGTATAACGTAAATGTATTTTATTAGTCATCTAGTTTTATTGATTTTAATTTCCTCTGCCCAGGTATCAATGTAGGTCCTGTAGTAGCTGGGGTTATTGGTGCCAGGAAGCCGCAATATGATATATGGGGCAATACCGTCAACGTTGCAAGTAGAATGGATAGCACCGGGCTGCCAAACCACACACAGGTATTAATCAGGTGAAATTTAAATAATGAAAAAATAAATAACGCATTTTTTAATGGTTTAACTGATTTTGAAATGAATGCTTGTAATTAGAGAACATAAATTATAACGATAAATATAATGTCATTTAGTATGAAAACTCAAATTTTTGAAGAGAAGAATGTTGTAAAATATTATGGATATAAATAATGTTTTAAAATTATTCGCAAAGAACGATAAAAATATCATATCATATTTAGAAATCTTTACATGATTATAATTTCTGATGGTGAAATATTATAACATGATCACAGTAAAAAAAAAGGGATACTTAGATTAAAAAAAAAAAGGTGTCATTTGGGTTTTTCTCTTTTTTGCTACACCAGGTAACTGAGGATATATATCTTCTACTGAAAGACTATCCGTACTTGTTCCAATGCAGAGGCCGTGTAAAAGTGAAAGGAAAAGGAGATATGACCACTTACTTTTTAGTTGGCAGAAAATCGCCAGAAGAGAAAACGTCTCTGCGCAATTCCACAGAGTATCCAGACCAGCCAAAACCTTCCAGCGGTGGAGAACATCAGAATGAAGATTCTTCATCCTTACATATGTTTTCTCAGGACAGTAGGCAGAGCAGTGGTTGGGAAGATATATCAAATGATAGTGCAAACAATACTCCTAAAACTAGGAAAGTGCAATTAAATAATGATCTAAAATCAGTTGATCTTGAAGTCTCCCAGAGTCCATCAAGTTCTCCTTTACGAAATGTTTGTTTTAAAAAACTTAATTTAACACAATATACATTTAAATTTCCATCCTATAAGTTATCGCTAGCTGATTCAATTCTTTCATCAGTGGGTTTTTCTTTACTAGAATCCGCATCATTAACTTGTAATAGTTGTTCGACCAATAACCAGATTTCTCCACGTTTGGAAGTCTTCCCCAAAAGCTATTTCAGGCAACTTTCTTTCTATAACAAAAAGAAATCAGTTTCTCAGTACAGAAGTTTTCTCTATACGGATTATTTCGCAGTTGACACATTCTCGATGACATTTACAGATTTCAAGTCAAAAACTCAGAAACTACGCGGATCTCAAATTACGCCATTCTTCACTTTTCAGAAACTTATTATCAAGGACCTTTCTTCAGCTTTAAATGACAGGTTGAACATTACCAAACTACAGAACTCAGCTAAATGCATGGAAATCTCAAACGAGCAATCCATAAATACTGCCTATAGCCAGCTTTCATTTCTAGATATCTATCAATTTTCTTCTCGCAGAACACTTCCAACTGTTTCTTGCATCAGAATTGCTAGTGCCACTTCATTTAAGATACACAAGATTGAATTTATATCATCAAACCAAGCCTCTTCAGTTGCCAATAAGATGTCTCTGGAACAAGAAACCTCTAAAAAATCTGCATATATCTCATGTGACATATATGTTGATGTGTCTCTTGTGACGACTGCTTTTGTAGATTCTGTGGAAATATTTCGTCAATACTTTAATCATGAGATTCCTTGCAGAAATGTTAAACACGATAACAACTGCTTAATACCACTCAACATAAGCTCCGAACAATCTTTAATCTCACTCTGGAAAAAACAACAAAATTCATGTCCAAGTATAACAAAAAAACAAGTGATTACAAAAAAATCTGACAAACTTTCAACAGAACAATATTCTTTAAATAAGAACAACTCCAAAAATTTTAACTCAAATAAACAATCAAATGTGACGGAAGAGAACACGAAAAGGGTTCTCTTTCTTCCCTGTAAGACAACCCTCTCAAAAATAAATGGAGAGAACATCAACTACAAACTGTCTTACCAAGTACACAGTAGTAAAAAACCTCAGTTAACACAAGAAAATCTTAACAATTCCCTTTACGCAGTAAGGCTGACAATTTTCTGTGATGCATACAACATTATTGTAATACAGTTAGGCTTATGCGATAAACGTATTATCCGCATGTTTGGTTTACATGTTAAAACTTCACAAAATCCTGAAAGCAGAAACTTTTTAGTTTCAAGCAGCTCCTCAGACAGATCTCACAAACCCGTGCGAGCGTATATAGAAGACTTTCAAACACCAAATAACGTCTCACATAAGAAAAAATATATAAAAAGTTTGTTTTATAAAGCAAGCACTAAACTTAAAATCCTTGATTCTATCAGTGGAAATGACAAAGGCAAAAACTGTGAGAATAGTGACATTCTGGAAACAAATCATATTAATGAAGGCAACAACTTTAAATATTACGTTCTGTATTTAGAAATGCTTTGTCATGGAAAGAAATACAGACTTGTCTGCTCTGATTACTTTTTAAGTGGTATCAACTCGCTTGTCAGCTGTCGCAATAGCACTTGTCCCTTTTCTGAACCCAGTGGTATCAAGCTAATGTATTTTGTTCATTAGCTGAGCAAAAGTTTCGTAAACAACCCCTTGTTGTTTGACAGAGATATGTTAAAAAAACACTTAAACATCATTGAAATCCTCTAGCACAAAGGCTAATTACGGCATCAACATTGAAATTTTGGAAAGCTTATGATTTATTACTAAAAAACTATTGTCTTACAGTTAAGGAACGATCGATTTTTTTTTGATTTTTTTTGTGTTATTATTAATATTTTTCTCGACATCCATTTTAACTTTTGATATCGTACTTGTAAGGAAACATTTTTTGTATGATCACTAAATACGAGGATGCAATGGAGTTATCGATCTACAGATGGACTAAAGTAAACTGTGAATGAGGATGTGTCGAACTGTGACTGTACTGAGGAATTTAATGAGAAATATATACTTTTAACCTAAAGCTGGGTAATTATAGGAACAGATCACTCTACATGTGCATGCACATTATTTGTTTGAAACATTATCTTGCATCAGATGTAATACACATTATATTATCCCTATCCCACCAAT